TTTTTTTTTTTTTTTTTTTTTTTTTATTGTGGAAATATGGTAACCCTATTGGAACTGCTGTGGTGTTTGTTACTTTTTTGTTGTTGTTGTTGTTCCTCTAGGCTACTTAATTGCTCGGTACCCTTTGGTTATATGAAAATCATTTGTTGTCCAGCATGCTGCATGAACAATGCTGGGACCGAATATGTATATATAATATAAACTCCTCTTTCTCCTGTCCTCAGTATCTTCTGTTTATTTCCACAGCTCAGGACACAAGTTGCTTTGAAGCAATGACCCCTGTTTAACACAAGGATCTGGACCATGTACCATTATGGTTTTGTGCCTCAAGAGCATTATCCAAGCATGAACCAGCCCTCCCCATACACCTACCTGCCTCTTGGGCCTGGCAGATTGGCTGAGTCTCCAAACACCACAATGTTCCCTCCTATCCAGATGCACAACTTCTATAGCCGGCCTGTCACCACCATCATGGACTGGAACAGCCACCATGACTATGCAGGAAACCAACTAGAGTATCATCATTTCTACGGCAGCAATCCATACTTCCATCCTCACCCCTTCTGGCACTTCTCTCAGGTGACCCCCATGTCTCTGTACAACCCCTATGCAAACTATAATCCGTATGCAGCATACCAGAGGCCAAGCCAGGGTCAGGACATATGGCCTCAGGGCTTCACCATGAGAGGAGAGCTTCATTGGGGGAAACTCGAGAGGGTCTTTGGACCTAGACGGGAACTTCCGGAGTTTGTGAAGGAGGATCTCCGTAGGGTTTATGGCACCTACCCAAGGACTGATGTTTCCATAACCTTCCAGAACAGGGAATTCCTGGTGAAAGGAGACCCCAGAGTGGGAGAACAGGACTACACAGTCGAAAAGAGAGTCATCCGAAGGGATCCCACCCCAACGGCTAGCGAAGCGGACGACGACAGCGAGGAACGAAACCGGAAGAAGAAAAAGAAATCTAGACGTTGATGTAGCCAGCTCACCACAAGACTGGTGCTCCTTGTCGTCATGGCCAAAGAGTTAGCAGCTGAATTTTGGCACTTGGGAAGAATACTGGGAACTAGCACGGGCATACAACGCTGTCCACTCCCCTTGGCAAGTTTTGAACTACTGCCAAAAATGTAATTTAATTCCTCTGCTTACTTTCCCCACGCTCCATAAACACGCTGACATAGCTTATACTCCAGCTGACTGACACTTACTACACATTCTCCCCCCCTCCCCCATGTGCACCTCCATATCCGTTGGTCTCTCAGATGTTGGCTTTGAATGAGATTGTATAGGCTTCCATTTGTGACTATATTTGGTCAGCCAATCTGCTTGTGCCTTTTTAGAAGAAGAGTTGGTGAGTTCTTTTTTTTTTTTTTTAAAGTAGGGGAAAGAGACCCATCCCACAAGTCACTAACTTGGCCTCTTGTTGGCAGTCCTCTGCAGGGTGAATAGCCAGGAAGATTGGACTCCCTCTATCTCTGCCAACTTGCCCCACTTCTGAGGACAGTGTGGTGAAAGTGTCTTGTTTGAACACTATAACCGTGCAGCTGTCTTTGTACACCCTGTAATTACTGCTTCATACCGATGATTGTTGTGGTTATTCACTATGGAATTCTTGTGTCGACTCTTCACTGAGGGCTGGAAGAAGGTGATGTCAAGAGATCCCCCTTGTACTCACTGATGGGTCTGGTGATCCCTCTTTCTGACTGCATGTCCTCATTCTGAGGACAAGAACCTACTGTATCTTCCTTCGCCAAAGAACCTAACTCAGATCAGAGTGAGCGCAGCTGTTGCCAGGTGGGCCCTAGAAAAGACACAACTGTGGATGCCAGTTTACGAGCGCTGTTGACATACTTCAAATGTCACAGCTGTTGTATGATCCACAGCGCTAGCCTTTTCCCTTTGCCAGGTCTGAAGAGGGGATCTGCTGCTTGAAGGATACGCTGCACTGGAAACATACCGCAGGCCCGAGGGCAGTCCCTAAGTTGCCTGCAAACATATGTAGCTTTTAAATAATAAAAAAGTAAAATGTGAACCCCTATATGTGCTTGTCTTCATTGCCAGTGACTAAAACTGCTGCTTGCTGGAGTTGTATAGTTTTGTGTGTGTGTTCACACTAGGGTTACCATATTTCAGCAAGAAAA